TAAGACTACAGACTCATTCCATAGAGCAAAGAAACATTTCCAATGAGCCAGTCACAAATAAAGTTTATTTTTTACCGTGGATTTACTGTGTTTCTTTTTAAGGACAGGTTTGCTCTCTATGGTGTTCTTGTGTGGGTAAATTATAAATATATATACATTTCCTCCTACAAAGCTAATTAGAAATAAACTTCTTCTCAGAGTTGAAAAAAATTAATAGGTGGTACCACAGGCAAGTTTTCACAACAGAGAAGTTTATAGCTATACTATATTTTTATGGAATCCATTTGGTAGATAATATTATGGTTTGTTTGTCTAAGTGTCTGTCGATTAGTCAAGTCTTTGAGGCCTCTAACCAAGAACGGCTCCTCGTCCTCCCTTCCTCTCCCCTTCCTTTCCTTCCTCCTTCTCCTTCCCCTCCCCTTCCTCTTTCTCCTCCCTCCAACATGTTATATTTCCAAACTCCCACTTTGCTGACTCACTGCCAGATGCTGTTTATTCTCTCAGAGCACACTGCAGTTTCTCTTTTGTAACAGTTTTTACTCTTGTAATTATTTGTTCATCATTTATCTTCCCCATTGAGCCTTAAATCCAGGAGGAATGTCTGTTGTTCACCACTGTATCCCCAGTGTCTGCCCCAGTGCCTGCCGTGTAATAAGTGCTCAATAAACATTTGGTGAATGAAGTAATAAATTCTCAACCTTGGATTCACATGTCTGAGCTTTATCTGCTCAGCCTAATTAAATGTAGAAGTCTGTACTTTGTAGTAGTCCCTGCCTTCCCGGAAGCATTATCTCCAAGGATACGGAATTGGATTCTTCTGATTAAGATTGTGTTGGATAGACTTACTTCACATACAAAACGTCTTACCTTCAGTGTAAAATTTCTATGTTATCAAGGGGAAGGTGAGGTTATGGATTATCTGGGGTTAATCTGACTTCTTTTTTTTTTATCATAATCATCCAATGTACATGAATGCAGTCAATGAATGCATTCAATCCATTCACACAAACAAATATTTATTGAGCTACCACCATGTATCAGGCTCTGCGTTAGTTTCCTAGGGCTAGTACAACAAATTACCACACAAGTGTCTTAGAACAGAAGCACACTCTCTCCTCAGGCTCTAGGGGAGAATCCTTTCTTGCCTCTTCCATCATCTGATGGCTCCAGGCCTTCCTTGGCTTATGGCTGCATAACTCCATTCTTCATCTGTCTTCACATGGCCTTGTCCTCTTTCTTTTCTCCTGTCTCTTATAAGGACTCTGGTCATCGCTTTGGGCCCACCTGGTTGATCTAGATTGATTGAGGTCCTTAATTATACCTACAAATTCCTTTTTTTGGGTGGAGGAAGGAGGGGATGTCATCATTCGACACACTGTACATACTATGTTGAATACAGTCCCCGCCCTCATGGAATTTGCAATCTAATTAAAAGACAGAGTACTTTTTTTTAAAGTAATTTCAATAAAACATGATAGAAATATGTAGGTAAAAGTAGTACAGGGGTCTATGGGAACATGTGTCTGGGGACCTAACGAAATCTAAACAACCGGAAAATGACGTGATGCTTAGGTAGGAGGACTGACTAGGAATTGGCCGTGAGAGAAAGTTAGGTGCATTGAAGGAACTAGAAAAAATGTAGCATAGAGAATGATAAGAGAAGAATCTGGAGATGTATGCTGGAGCCATTTCTAGAGAGTCTTGTTAACAAAGTTAAGGGCTTTGGACTCTCTCCTGAGATAAAGTCGGAGCCCTGTAACTGACCAACATGAATACAATCAAAAGGCCAAAATTCTGTCAGGACCAAAAGCCTCCGCACAGACCCTGAATTTTCCTCTTATTTCCTTATGGCAAACCTCGTTCTTCCCAGTGTTTGATTGCTGAATGAATAAGCCAATATCATAGTAAAACTGCTCTGAAGGGTCATGCTAAGGATATTTAGTTCAACTTTCTCATTTTACACACATGAAACAAAGGTCAAGCAAGGCTATGATTGTTCTAGAACACACAAAACAGCCCCTGGCCAGTTGTGATGTTAGTGAAGACGGTGCAAGATAGTGACAAAAGTATGGGCTTAGAGCCTGACAAATCAGGGCTGAGTGGCCAGTTTTCTTGTGTACAAGATGTGTGACCTCAGGCAAGTAACACAACCACTTAAACTAGGAATAATGATAGTACCTACCTATTAAGATTGTTGTGCAGATAAATTTGATAATGACTTTTAAGCACTAAGCATAATTCTAGGGGTAGTTTACTATTAAATACATAGTGGCTTTTGTTGATGAGGATGAAGAGATTCACAATATTTACATAATCACCCCAGCCCCATCATCCATAGAATTTTACTCCCAGTGTAACAGTGCATCTACATTTTATACTCTTATTTTCAAATGACTTATTGCATATATATATATACATACATACACACACACACATATATATATATAATTCTCAACAGAAGAGTATTTAGAATTCCTAGTACAGAGGTTTAAGAAACAATTTGCAAAATAGGCATTTTTCAAAATGTCACAACTTAATATTGTTATCCAATTAAAATTTTAATTGAAGCAAAGTTCATAAGCATGTAATCACAAGAGTGAAAAAGAAGATGTATTAGTAGAGCTGGCAGTTTACTAAGCAATTATTTAAGTTAAACAACACAATTTTCTATAAGAAAGTAATCTGACTTTCCAAAGGCACCCAATTACATAATCTTCTCCTCCATCTGAGCTTTGAATACGTGGTCTCAATAAATCACTTGCTACCTGACTACTGTGAAAATAACATGCTCTAAGTTTAAAACTCTTGAACTATATTATATATTTTATAAATGTAACAATTGGTAAGTAAATAATGTTTTCTTTTTAAATGCCACCTTCTTTATCTTCAAAAAGTTAATGTTGTTTCCTATAACATCTATTCCTTAAAATTTGCATTCAATAATTTTCAATGAGAAAATGTGACATTTTAGAGCACACATTAATTCCCATGATATCAGTGCTATTTTGAAGATTAGGAAATCCAGTGTGGGCCTAATAAAAATTTTCAGTACATTATTTATTGGGTAAGATGTAACTATTTAACTTGTCTCTGCACAGATTATGAGCTACAACTCAACACTGAAATAGATTGCCTGAAATACCTTGATATAATCATAGTGACCAAAATCTAATTTCAATGTTTAGTAAATTTCTTACTAAAAACTGGACATAAGTGACTTCTTTTTATTTACATTTAGATTTCCTAAAAAGCCTCTTAAATGCTGTGACTTGTTTCTTACTGACTCAACAATAGTGTTTAAGGTTTAGACATTCTCTAGTAGATATGTCAATTTTATGAGAAAGTTATTACTCTGGATATTAATTTGCACATAGTATACTACAAACTTGATTCCCAGAAAAAGAGCTACTTCTGTGGAAACCTTAAAGTATTCAGGTATAATAAATTTAAATTATTATGGTAGAGAATTAAGTGGTTTGCTTTTCAGTTATATTCTTTCTTTGATTCAGTTTGCTACTTACAAGTGATTAGATTAATGTTTTGATAGTAATCAAAATAGAAGTCAAGCTTTATTCAGGTTAAGGGATATTGGAGATACTGATTAATTTAATAGTTTGTAATATTGATAATTAAGTGAATTATTATAGCGAGTTATAGCATTGGAAGAAGAAATGAAATAAAAATCTAAAGCCTGGTTTCTGGTGATGGTCATGTGTAAGCTGGGTCAAGTTCTTTAACTTCTCTGGGCTTCAGTTTCCTTAACTCTATTATTAGGCAATCGTCCATATCCCATCCCATAAAAGTATATCTCATGATAACTTCAGTAATACAGAGAACAAAAAGTATTAATGAATTAAATAAGCTAAGATATTTTTAGAAGATTCCTGGCAGGTTAGTGAAACATGCAGCAAGCACATGTGGTTTTGATACAGTTTTGTCAGTGAGAGAAGTAATATGCTATTACCAACCATAGTCGATACTTTTCTTCAAACAAGGACGGTTTTAAATGTCAGTTTTTAAATGATTGCCAGTCAAACATCTAAGCACCTACTGTGTACAACCTTGTGCTGCAGAGGGTGAATTCATAACTGACGTTTGAATTAAGCTCTATGAAGTTTAAAGAAGTTCATTCTTAAAACAAATTATGCAGTAATTTTCCACTTTGTGAATACAGGCATCAAAACTATGTGTAAAGCCTGGCTCACTAGCATATGATCAGGACACTCAGGGCAGCTGTTCTCTTGCTCTCTGGACATCCCCTGCTCGACCAGTCCCTGCTTTCCCTACACCCTACTTATGTGACTACCCAATCCTCTTAATTATTGGGCTTAATCAGTAACTGCCCATGTGCTTGCCCCTGCCCCACCTGCTGGTTTCCCTGGTAACTGATGAGCCAACCTGCCATCAATTCCCCCTATAAATGGTAACCCCACCCCACCCCCACCTCCTGGTCCTGCAGTGAAGGCTGCTGCATCCTGCCTGCTGTCTGCCTTACGTGGTGGCGTGTCACTCCAGGACTGCTTCAGATTTGTAAGATTCCCTAGCAATAGACTATTGATGTCTCTGTCCCCTGACTCTTTCTTTGGTCTCTCAGCTGGGCAATTACAAGGTTAGCAGGTTTACAGAGTTCGGCCCAACAGTTGGCAAAACCATTTAAGGAAATAATTCAGCAACTATATAAACAAAATCCTTTAGTCCATCTGCCGATTTAAGTTTGCAAAACATACCTAATCTTAAAACGAAGGGTACTAAGAATCCATCTACTTTCTTGGTATTTTTGTGAAAAAAGAGAAAAAAAAAAAGGAAAGGTTATTCTGTGGGTTATGACCTCAATCTTCAGCCCTCATTTTGGGTTTGCATCTTAAGACAGCAGATAAAGGGCATATATGGTGGGGGTTTTGGAATCCATTACCATGCTTTCAAGCATGTACTAAGTTGTAGAATAACTGTGGTGGTGAAATGTCACCCAGGGAAATGCGCGTGTTGTTTCTGTGTTTCAGCTTCGGACATGGCGGCAGAACAGGGGCAGATTCTCGTGATAGCCACCGCGGCTGTGGGAGGATTCACTCTCCTCGTCATTCTCACTTTGTTCTTCCTAATCACTGGGAGGTAACGGAAGCACACCGGATCATTTCCAAGATTTGTGAATAGCCATTCTTTTTATACACTGTGTATTCAAGAGCTTTTAAACTTAACAAAGCGTACCTGTAGGAAAAAAAAGGATTAGGGCAGATTCCTCTCTGACAGTGAACTTTATGTGGCAACAGAACCACTATGGCTGGTTCTCAGTGTTAGCAGGTCCCTGAATATGGAAGCAACCAGAGACTTGATAAAAACACTTTGAAAATGATGAATGATAAAATCCTACATACTAAGTTACTTCTGAATTTTTTCTTTGCTACAGTCACATTCTCTCACAAAGGGAATTTTGCTTAGAAAATTGTATTTCAACAGAGACACTGAACAATTTATATTAAAGTGTTTTATAAATATAATGTTACAGAAATGTTTTATTTTAGCCATTAAATATTGAAAGTATCTATATTACAATTGTATTATTGGTTTTATAAATCAAGTTACTTATCCACTTAAGAGTAATATGGGTAAAAATTTAAAATACCAATAAATTTAACTGAGCAAAAGACTTCAGTTTGAATCCCGACCAGCTGGTGAAAGTGCTTTGTCCATCTAAACCTTAGATTTTAATTTTTACACAGTTTGGTGTGACAACGCATTAAAATATTTATTGACTTTTAAGTATATTAGATTATTACCATGAGCCAGCTGTGACAATACAGAGATATGAATGAAGAAAGTGTGTATGAAATTATTTAAAAGAATTACTTTATTTTTTATTTAGCCCTTGTTATTTGGCCCAGACTTTTGTCAAAAATTGTGAAATCGTCATATTCTCAATGCTGTAAGGGGAAAATATTCCATCTAGATGATCAGCAGTGGCACAAAATATCTCGAGAGTTTTCTTGATAATCTGAAACACACATACTGCAAAAAATATCAGTATCATGATTTAAAACTGTGCTAATAGTGCCAGCCAAATAGTACACATCCTAATTGACTCTAGTACACCCTGATATTTGATAATTACCAGAAATAACTTATAGCTACCTCAGGGCCAATAGTTCAATGAACTATGAACACCCTTTGTTTTATTCATTTTTTGAATTCTTACATACCAATATTTTATTAAAATTTATTACAAAATTATAGAAGTTATGCATATATGGAAAAATATTATCTGAAGTGTTGACAGCAGACTAAAAGTATAGACCAATAAATTGATAAATACTTAGAAAGGCACTTATCCAGTGTTGGTCCCTGAGGAAATTTAACTGTTACCTACCTGTTAAAAGTATCAGATTTAGTTGTAACAAATCCAGTTTTACAAGATTTATCAAGGAACAAAGAAATAGATGAATATTCTAATGTGGTTACATTGAAATGGTGACTTCCTCATGAAATCAGTTGTAAAAGGGGCACATTTACCCCTATGTTCACTTAAAATTTTCAAGTGTATAAGTAGACAGTATTACTCTTTCAATTAACGGAGAGTGTCTGAGTCTCCTGCTTTAGGAGGCTGATTAGCTGATAGAAGAATGCTAGCTATACTAAGAAAAAAAAATTGATAAGAAGGAATGCAGGAAATAATGTTGAAGTCTTCCTGTTGGTTGGGCCTACTGTGGTACCACAGTCAGATACTGCTGCTCAGCACTCTCCTGTTCCTCTCCTTGAACCTAGACCTAACCTCTCTCTGACAGCTCTTAGCCATTATCACAGCTTTGATACTACCATCTTTTCCAGTGGACAGGAAACAAATTTTGAAGTCTCTAAACTAACCTGCAATTAGTTTGAAAACACCGTATTCAATACCATAGCCTACAAATACCAGATATGACCTACAAAAACCTTAATCACTAACAGGGGACAGCTTATAAAATAAACAAGCGAAAGTACTGGTGGAAGAATAAGCTTCTTTGCTTAAAAAAAAAAAATGCTGAAGTTCTGATTCTATCTAGAACTCTCTTGCAAGCAGAGGGGACTAAAGGACAGTAATGGCTAGGAAAGGAAACAAGAAAATTTCACTGAGAGAATTACAGATCTAAGTCTGGTAAAAGGAAGGAAAGAAGAGAATAAAAGAATTTTGGTGCATGTGAAGTCACAATGACAATTTGGACAGGTAAAAAAATTAAAATACCAACACTTTATGGGTTGCAATAAGTTTAGTCGACCATTATAAAAATGTTATGGAGAAAAACTGTATTTTCATTGCCATTTATAACATGGGTACTGCCCGTGCAGTGTGAATTTGGGGACATTGATATCTTGATAATACTATGCTTTGCATGGATAAAGACAATCAGTTTGGAGCCCGGAAAGTTTGTTTAATTATTCAAGTATGATAAGGTCCTATAAGGTGATCTTAACTCCAAAGACACAAATTATGTCATGTTAACTAGGCTGTGATAATTTAGATGTGATGATTAATTTCATTCGGAAAGATTCTTATTTTCTTATTTGAAAGTTTCTTTGAAGAAGTTTGGAGAATTTTCTTAAGCATGATTTCATTTAAACAGCAGTGTAATATTTATCAACTAAGTACATAATGGAAATTGATTCAAATGATATTTTATTTAATAATGATTCAATGCATAGCAAAATTGGATGTAACTTTTGAGTTATATTTTATGTATCTGTAGAACATGAGTTAAGGCCTTATTTCCTCAGAGTATTTCAGTGAACAGTGATTTAAATAGGACATACATATGTGGAAAAGCATTTCATTAAAATATCAGAAGATATTGCTTTAACACATAAATCTGACAAACTTAAAGAAGATCTTATACTCATTGTAGGCTAAATAAGATTTGCCTAATAAACTTGAAAGAGAGGCTCATCTGTTATCTTTATTTGGGATTCCTGAAACAGAATTTGAGTACCATTTAAAAAGAGAATTTAATAATGATGAAAAAATTGGACTAGATTATTTTCAGCTTTGAATTTCTATGTTTGCCAATTTATATGACATCAGAAACTGCTTTAACTGGAGAAAACAATTTCAATTACATAAGTTAAAAAAATTGATTTTGAAGCACCTCTTAAGCACTTTGCTAGGGGAGCATTCATTGGAAATTAGTCTATGAAAATGGTAAGGCATAACTGAATAAATACTCAATATGTCATAGGACTTGAGGCCAAATTCACATTGAAAGATTGGATTGTGCACCACAGATGTATTCCATTTAATCATTTGGAGTTAGCAGTTTGATGAACTATCAAATCATATGGATATTGATGCATTTTTCACGTCAAAGAAGTCTTAGGAAATAAGCACCTACCTCTGTTCTTCAAAGTACGATTTTTCCAAGAGAGAACAGAACATGCCTCTACTACATCTCTGATATTAAAAACAAACAAAAACAACATGCTGTTTAGCACTGAAACTGGAAGACAGTTGTCTAAATTTCTGAGATTCTGAATCAAAAATAATTTTTCCATTTTGACTTTTAATGCTTTTCATTGACTAGCTATTAGAAGCCATATAAGGAAGGACTTGATGGTTATTGCTGGTTATTAAATATTTTCTAAGATTCCTATCATTTGGATCAATAAGTCCACTTGGGAGTATTTTACTCTTATGTGGGGCTAATTTTGATATAAAAATAAAACCTTCTGTGGAATATTTCCACATGTTACAAGGATGTTCTTAAAAGTGGTCTTTATGATAAGAGCTTTGCCCATGGGTAAAATGCATTTTAATTGGTTTCGGTTGGTATCCAGCATAATTCTTAAGAGTCTGTTTACCTTTCTTAAAGGTGTCAATGGTACATAAAAGCCAAAATGAAGTCAGAGGAGAAGAGAAGAAAGGACTTGCAGAATGGGCATTGTAAGTAGTTCAGTGACTCATCCATTATTTTCTATTGTTCCAGCACTTAAAGAATTAGTTTTAAACTTGTATCCATTGAGTTGAGAAAACCAAAGAAATACACTTCCAACCTTTCAGCATTAAGACTTTTCATCTGGTTTCTAGGTTTGTTGATGGAAGTTGCACCTGCTTCTCATTAAATGATTCTACCTTTTTCCTAATTCTGCTAGCTAGAAAACAACAGACTGAATATGCTAAAAATACAAGATGACTGATGATAATCTAGTTATTTACCACTCACAGTGGCTCCAAAACATTAGTTAGTTTTATTTAGTGGAGCATTAGCCATAGAAATATTAAGGAATTCTTATTCTTTCTTGTAGGGACTGTCATTTAACATATAACAAATCAATTTACAATTCAGTAACACTAAAAAAGAAAATCAGCTCTTTAACTTGTAGAATATGTATGAAATCCTTGAGCTGACTACAAGGTTATACTCATTTGAAGGATCTCTTCCCAAGCAAGCTGTAATTACCAGTATAGTTGGTTTGATAATTGCCACCTTCTTCTCCCCAACGCCCACCTCCACCTCCACCTCCCAATTGCAGACTACTTTGTCAAGACAGTTTCTCTGTCATGAGACGCTGAATTAACAAGAAAGGGATGTTCTCTAATTAACCACAATATAGAGATAATATGTGAGGCAAGTTGTTTAACTATTTAAACTTTTCTTCCATTTCAAATTAAGCTGAAGTAATAAGGGGCTTTTCAATCTATATAACCCTCCAGAGGACAGAAAGGATTTCGGTGAGGAAATTATAAACCAGAGAGCTGCTTTAGGGCTATTTCTAAAGCTCACGTGGTTTCTCAAAGAGAGGTCTAAGGACCATCTGCATTAGAATGTTCCATCCTTACTCAGACTCAGAAGGTCCAGGGCAGGGCTAAGCACAAATGCATTTTAGCAAGCTCTCCCAGGTTGTTCTTTTGCACAAAGAATTTGAGAAACTACCCTAGCTGGGAAGGGAGAGCTGAGGCAGCTGATACTAGACATGGGATAAGCTGAAAATAATATAGACAGATGCAGAAACCTGGGTCCAGACACCTGGACCAATGACTTATGCTGAGCAACCTTAAGATTCGCTACAGGACTTTTAGTACTGAAATGCAGAAGAAAAAGATGCTCCTGAGGTATTTATTAATCTGTTTTCTAACCAGCAGTTTAGCATAAACTAAACCAGATGGGCCCAGCAAGAAACAATGAAAATAACCTGAGGCAGACAAGGAAGTAGAAGAAAGGTAATAGATGTTTAAGAAACAAGAGTACGTTAAATAAGTAACCAGATATTCAAAACTGGAACTAAGTTTGGTGTTTTTTTTTTCCTATACTATAAATACTGTATTTACAAGAAAAATAAAGTGATGCTGTTGCCGAGTCCAAATTCGTTCTGCTCGCCGCATGACAGGCCAGTAAATCCAGAGATGAGGTATTGGGGCAAGGAATAGCGACTTTATTCAGAAAGCCGGCAGACAGAGAGGATGGCAGACTAATATCTTGGAGAACCATCCTGCTCTAGTCAGAATACAGGCTCCTTTTATACAAAAAAACAAGGGAAGGGGTGTGGTTGATTGTTGCAATATTCTTGCTGCAGGCATTCTTTGTTCTTGCAGCCATCCCCCTGGGCTAGGTCATGGTGTCCCTGTAAACCTCCAACAAAACAAAGGTTATTCTCTACTACAATGCTAACTAAACAGTTTGTTCTGTAGAAATGTATATTACTTTTTAAAAATTGAATGGTTGAATTGTTAAAACCATGTATGAGTTAATAAATTACATCTGTTATCTGTGCCTAATGTTATCAACGTGACCACATATCCTGTTAGATACTGTTAATCATCTAATAGTAGCCACCAGATTTGAGTTTCTAGTATTCAATCTGAAATCACAACTCCTATATTACAAAAGTATCATTAAGAATATGAACTAGAGGTACAAATGATCTGTTCTCCTTTCCTCCAGTCTAAAGTTAAATCTTGCCTTTAGAAAGTCAAGAAAAATATAGCATTTCAGAATCATTGTCAAGTCTATCTAGAAATATGCCATACTAGTGCTATTTCTGGAATTACTAATCTCATGGGTACATACCCAGTACTAGAAGACAGGAGGCAAAATTAATGAAAGAAGACAACAGGTGTAGAACTCATGAAACAATTACTGCTAATAATCTCATCACCTCCTGTCAACTCACTTTATTACCTTTCATTGGTTTGCTTTGAGATTTTCATGCAAGAGCATATTTCTAAGGAGACCTAGACAATGCTTATCTCAGGGTGTCGTATGGCTTTCAAAATCTAAGAAGCAACAAAACCAAATGTTTTTCACTATGCCACAAATTTAGCATTGATCTTTTAATCCCTACTAATTCATATTCTATAAAAATGTGCTGTGTGCTTATTGCCTGTAAAACCATACCTAAGGTATTTGGAAAGATGCAAAGATGTATAAGAAATTATCTCCTGTTCTCCAGGACCTAGCAATCTAATGTGGAAAACAGAAACCAATGAGCAAAACAGAGAAAAATCCACAGGCAGTCTGTTACTTCCTCACATAATGAAGAAGTTGAAAATTAATATGCAACCAGGCTTTCAAGTTTTCCAGCCACCCCCCTTCGTCTTCCTAACTGCCCACAGGCTGTAAACACTCCACCCCCACCAGAGAAGGAGGAACAGTTACACAGCCAGTGATCAGACTTGGACCTTTGATTCTTATCTGTGCCTCCAGGACAGACAGTGTGCAGTCTGACCGTGGAAGCAACTACAAGACCCAGGAAAGGCCTGTTATCCACAGTGTAGTGGTCCTCCCTGCCACTGTGCTGTGGGGGTCTATGCTTTACTGCCCAAGAGTTTCTGGAAGGAGAGAGACTACAGGACTGGGACATGAATTCAGGAAAACCTACTGCCTTAGAGTATAGAGTCCAGGAGGGACGCTAAGGGGCTTGCTTGTTTGAGGGGAAGGCTTATGCTTCGTTTCCCCCAAGCCATGAGCTACGTCAATGTAAAATTTTTGGGTGCTAGTGGCTAAGTGAGCTAATTACATTTTTTACAGAAATACAATAAAATTTTTTTTTCTTCAACTTGTCAGCTCACTCTCTCTAAAACCATCAGGTCATTTTACATCAACAGTTAGGTAAATAAAATTTTGATTCCAAGTATTCAAAGTTTTGATGGGGATGGGGTTGGGTCGGGGGAGAAGGGAGACAGGAAGAGAAGACAGAATTGAATTTAAGTGATTAACAAGAATGACTACCTCAAAAAATGAAACAATCTGCTAAAGAATGGGCAGAGGACCTGAATAGACATTTTTCCAAAGAAAGCACACAGATGGGCAGCAGACACACGGAAAGATGCTCAACATTGCTAATCATCAGAGAAATGCAAATCAAAACCACAATGAGATGTCACCTCACAGCTGTTAGAAGGCCATTATCAAAAAGACAACAAATAAAAGTGATGGGGAGGATGTGGAGGAGAAGAAAAGCTCATGCTATTGGTAGCAATGAAAATTGGTGCAGCCACAGTGGAAAACAGTATAGAGGTTCCTCCAAAAATTAAAAATAGAACCACTGTACAATCCAGCAATTCCACTTCTGGGTATTTTTCTGAAGAGAACAGAGACACTAAATTGAAAAGATGTATTCACCTCCGTGTTCAAAGCAGCGTTATTTACAATAGCTATGATATGAAAGCCACCTAACTGTCCATTGATAGATGAATGGATAAAGAAGATGTGGTATGTATATGCAATGGGATATTACTCGGCCATAAAGAAGAATGAAATCTTGCCACTTACGACAACATGGATGGATCTAGAGGGTGTTATACTAAGTGAAATAAGTCAGACGGAGAAAGACTGTATGATTTCACTTATATGTGAAATCCAAAAAAAAAAACAAATGAACAAACATTACAAAACAGAAAAAGACTCATAGAAAACAAACTAGCTGTTGCCTAAGTAGAGGGGAGTGAGAGGAGGAGTGGAATAGGTGAGGGATATTAAGAGATACAGACTTACAGTAAGTCATGGGTATGTGATGTACAGCGCAGGGAACATAGTCAATAAAATTATAATAGTTTTGTATCATGACAGATGGTGACAAGACTTATTGTGGTGATCATTTTGTAATGTATATAAATATCGAATCACTGTGTTGTACACCTGAAACTAACATAATACTGTCATTTATACTTCAATAAAAAAAAATGACTACTTCAGTACATCACACCTCATTTTACATAATCACAAGATGTGTGGTTACTAGAATACTCTTGAACTAATTCAGTCTTTTGTTTTGTTGCAGTACGCTTCCCAGGAATTAAAACTTACATAGATCCTGATACATACGAAGACCCATCCCTAGCAGTCCATGAATTTGCAAAGGAGATTGATCCCTCAAGGATACGGATTGAGAGAGTCATTGGGGCAGGTAAACATAAAATCTACACTTTTGAAGATATGGTTTCTTAGCGGTTTTGTAACTGGTTTATCAACATAATATTTTAAATCTTATTAGTTTTAGTCATTGAAAAAAATTTTTAATGAGAAGTAAAATTATCTTGTATATATATTGTTACTGTTTTAAAAAGTATTGCAAATGCCCAAATTCAGTTTCCAAACAATGAGAAAATCCACGAAAGTTATTTTTAACATCCTGTAGTCATTCTTTCAGTATTGAGATAAATTACAGTGAAACTAGAGTGAATCAAGAATTTATTTTGAAAGTGCAGCTTCAGGAGTTTGTCATAGGTTATTATATATTTACTTGAGTCCTAACATCTATAGGCATATACTATAATTAGTATTCACACTGATGGCCTTAAGGCCCTGCAAGATCTAGAAGTGTTCTGAGAATCACTCATATACAATTAGGTTCAATATAGTTTTATATAATTTTAATACAAATTAATAATTTTCCCTCTATATTATTCAACTGTTCTGGATAAATACAAATTTATTATGAGTGAGCTCCCAAGAATTTCTTCTGTATGTTACTTAGGGCAGAGGCCGCACCAGTATAACAAAGAGACCCAGGATAAAAATGTTTTCCTCTTTCAAGTCCTTGACCCAAGGTGAGTAGTCCCTGGTGGCTCTCATTCAGGAGGTCTTGAAAGGACCCAAGTTCTTTCTATTCTTTGCTTTGCCTTCCCCTATGGTGTCGTCCTCCTCTGAACAGTCAAAGCTGGTCACCAGCACATCTTCCTTCTGGCCTATCAGAAGGAAAAGAGAGTTCAGTCTTTTTGTCTTTAGGTAATTAGCTTTGTCTTTAAGACAATAACCTGGAAACTGCACCATGTCTATTCACATTTCAATATTCCAAATACAATCACATGGGTACACTTCAATGCAAGAGAGTTTGGAAATACAATCTCTGACTAGGCAGCTATGCAGCCTAAAAGTGGAGGGGGAATGTGCTACTAAATAGAAAAGAAAGACTGGATCCTGAAGGGGAGTACTAGTGTCCTCTAGATGTTAGATATCTGTGTAATCCTTTACAGAGAGCAGAATATACCATTCCATCTGGGCATCATGTCTTTGCAAAGGTCTAAAAGGCTTTCTTCTTCCAAAACCCTTCACCAGAAGGACTGACCACATAATTTGCAGGGACCAGTGAAAAATGAAAATATAGAAAATGTTAAAAAATGATTAAGAATTTCAAGACAGTGACAGCAGAGTTCTAAACAAACAGCAGGGCCCTCCTAAACTCAAGGCTCTACGTGACTCTGCCCATGAAACTGACCATTTTCCAGGTGCACAGAGAACTAGCACCACATCAAGAATTCCAGGGATGTTTGGAGAAAGTCCTACTTTATATCATTTTATTCCCCATGCACAATGGATCATCTCATCTCCTGCATGGCCAATTCTCCCTCTGAAATCTGACATAAGGGTCCTATACACTTAAATCTTACTGCTTGGAGCCAAAGAGGCTGTCTTATCAGAAAGATTAAGAACCTGGAATAGAACCAGATCCTCTATTCTATTCTGCTGCACATAAAGCATATCAACAGGCATTAAGGCATACTTGAAAAGAGTGATTGCATTATATTCATTTAGTTTGGGGGTTTATTTTCTTAAGACAGCAGAGAAATAGAAAAGAGAGGAGGTTGAATAATTTCACTGCACCCTACTGCTTTCTTCCTCTGGTCCCCAAGAAAAAGTGGTGTGACCTTTTATACTGCATTGTTCCATTGCTTCTGTAGATACAGGAATTAAACACCAATGTCTGAAATCATAATATTGAGAGATAAATCAAGTATCTGAGAGGTAAACTGTCAAGTTAAAATGCACAACTTAAAAGCTGTGAGTTAAGTTCATTTAGTGCCTTACTGAGGAATATTGCCCAAGAGACAGCCTCTTAGATAGCTCTGAGAAACTGTTCTGAAGAGGTAATGTTAGCAGATGGAGGGACCCCTAAATTAGGAAGCCCACCAAAGTGTGGGTTCTTGCCACTGGCTTTGAAAGAATTCGCACAGCAGAGGCAGAGGGACAAAGAGAACAGCCATTTTATTGCTCAGACGGGGAAATGAAAAGAAAGTGCTTGAGCAGGGAGAAGGGAAGAAAAGCACTTGAGTGAGGAGAAGGCATTCGAGTGGGAACCATCAGCCAAGAGGGGCGATATGGACAGCTCCAGGCCGGGCTGGGCCACATGTACTCTCATGGGAGGCTTCTGCCAACATATCTTTCTTCCTAGTGTGATGGAGCCAATCAGCCCTTGTTCGAGTTTTTCAGTCCGTGTATGGGCTTTTCCGGTTCTTGTCATGGCAGTCATCAACTGTCATGGTGCTGAGGGCTGTGTCATTTAGCATGTTAATACATTACAGTGAGGCTCAAGGTCCACTGGAAGTCAAATCCTCTACCATCTTGAACTGGGTTCTAAACAATTCTTGTTTCTTCTCTGCAGCTGCCCCCTGAGACTTAGATAAGAGTAATTGGTTTCTATTCCAGGGAAGGGCAGGGGTATATCCTGGGGGAAACAAACAGCCTTGGTAACAAAAAGGAAGGCTGCTTTTAATCAGAATGCCTGCGATCTAATGCACCCAGCATTCCTAAAAAAAAAAACAAAACAAACAAACAAAAAAACCATCTCCTAAGATTCTGTTCAGCCATGAAAGTTTTAAGAGGAAACGCAGGAGTAATCTCAGTTAATTGGTGAGATAGGGGGTCAGAGTCGTCCATCCCCCAATGCCTGCAGGCTTTTCCTAATCAACTGCTTGAGCCTGCTCTTCTGTGACGAGGAGAGCCCTTGGAGACTTCAGCTTTTCTATAAACATGAGTCAGGGATTGTGGGCACACAGAGTCCTGCTCCCTTTTAGTAAGTGGGAAGGTCAGGATATGTGTGATTTTGGCAAAGAGTGTATATGCAACCAAGTACACATCTCACATCTCACTAGAAGGTTGCTGCTAGTCACCTGGGACACATGTGGTTAATTTAGTGCTTTTCTAAGTATGGGAAGATACAAGAATCTAAGTTCATAAAAAATTTCTCCATAAAATATGTAACTGTCTCCAAGCCCTATTCTGCCAGTTTTCCCAGGGTACAGAGTGCCTCCTTCCTGACTTCCGCCCTGAACTCCTTTCAAGACATGTCAAAGGCCAGCAGCTGCAGTGGCCAAGGACTCAGTCCTTGTAGAGCCGGATGGCTAGTGTTATGCACATTCTTTAGTTGGCAGAACAAATGAAGAAATTCAGTTTTTCTCTAGTGTTTTTTTTTAACCAAATATCATTTTGTCCTAAAAAAAAATATGACAGATGTTGCCAAATCAAACAATAACTATTAAAGAGACTATTTTACGATCATATTCTTCCTGTCTAAATTCTGATAAGTCATAAGGGTTTTCCTTTTATTTGGCAAAAATGGAATATCTAAACCATGGGGTTAATACTATAAGTCAGTGTCTCTTTTTTGTATTTATTCATCTTTGACTATTTCAACTTTCAAACATCATGCTAAGTGACCTTTTACTGTCCATTTCAGAAAAATCATATAAATAAAAATGCTTTATGAGAAAAAAAACTGTTGTAATGCAACATCCCTCTTTGTGCCCCTGGCTTGTACTGCTCTGTTGTTAATTAAACCCATTAGGTCTTGTTCCTAAAACTCTATTTGCATATGAAAATATAATGAATATGTGGACATTCCCCACAGCAGCAGTGTGGAAAAAGCATTGTTCAATCAAACTAAAGGAAAATTAACAGAGTTTTATACCATCCATGACATTGTAGGAGAGGAATGTTAAAGTTTACAGGCCACTTTGAGCTAAGAAGAAGAGGGTGGGCCTGGGGTTTCAAAAGAAAGGAAGATAATTCACAGGGGGATAGGAAGAGCAAATGTTTCATACACAAATTTTGCCAAGCCAAACTGACCATGGAAGGCAGAGAGGAATGTGATCCCCAGACCCACTCCCATTTTCCTGCAGGCTGATCACTCCTAGGACTTACTCTCCGTAGTCATCTTTGGTGATAGCTCTCTTCCTGGACCAGGCCCTCTATCCAGATGCTTTTAGACAGTTAAGGGGATGGCATAAACCACTCCCTGAGTCTTTGGAGCCTTGATTTTTGGTTCAAAATAATCTACATGCCAAAGTGGAACATTCCGGGGCAGCCTGCCCTGAACCCCATTAACATAATTGCACGACTGGTTACTTGCCCAACTTTTTACTGTAATAGTTTCCTTAAGTTGTCTCCTACCTTTATTTTTCCCCACCCATTTGATTGTTTCTTCTCAAACTCTACTTCTTCACCATCTGAGTGCATTAGATATTCCCCTTGAAAGTGTAAACTAAATGCTTTAAGGGGCAGTGTAGATGCTGTACAGAGGTGAAGGGGACTGGGGGAGATGGGAAAGAGAGGCAAAACACCAGGTCTTGGTAACTGTCAGGTGAAAGATACCAGGTCTGACTAAGGCATTGAGAGTAGCTGTAGACAGGGATACCTAGATTCACAATTCATTGCTGAGGAAAAATCTACAAGACCTGCAGGGCTTTTCACAAAGAAATAATTAAGGATGCTTTTTAGATCTCCAGATGGGAGACACAATATATAATCATTATGTATTTCTTAAATGTGTTATTAAAAAATGAACCCCAAAATAGTTACATTAAAATTTTAAGAAAGAAAAGGCCATGGCATATCACACCTAACCTGTGACATTTCTAACATGTTCACTGAAGAATGTTTATTAGATGGCTAATATCTACTTATATAAAAAGACAGTGTACTAATTAATTAGTTTTTTTCATATTAAGTCACTATGCTTATTAAAGACATATGTCTTCAATATATGTTTTGTAGCCTTTGTCCTGGGATTTTCAACTTTATAACCATGCAAATATTATGCAGTAAATCCTGAGAAAATTTAATTTATCCATTACCCCAAAAGGGGAAGGGAAAAACCTCGGTCTTGTCTTGCCCAAAAGAGAAGAATTC